TTTATCCACTAAAGTATTGATAGTGTATACTTTTGTAGCCAAACCTATCCTTTATTTTTTAATATAAAGAAAACTTTGGAAACAAAAATACTTTTGTTCTTATTAGGGGATACCTTCAGTATAGTATCATGGTTACATTATGGCATTCTGTTACATTTCAGGTTTATTTAATCATAACCTTTTTTTTTGTTCTTAAAACTCACAATTGAAACTACTTATTAGGAACACTGTAACTTCAGATTATGTGTTAAGCTGTCTTACTGCTGTGGTTTTGTGAGGAAAGGTTAGTGTTTTTCGTCATGTTTCCTATTTTGTTTTTTGTGTGGGTAATAACCAGGTAAAAGGTAGAGGCAACTTTAATTTCAGTAGAATCAGATTAATCAGAGATAGGTGAAATTTACTGTCTTAGTTACTCTTCTCTCGTTGCTGGGACAAATACCCGACACTCAAAATGAAGGAAGGAAAAGTTTATTTTGCTCACAGTTACTGGAGGTTTCAGTCCATAGTCAGCTGGCTCTAAGGCAGAGCAGTACACAGCAGAAAGCAACCTTTCATGGCTGCGGCAAGGAGCAAGTGCACAGAGAGGGTAGCGTTGGCTCAGGCAGCTCACTTCTCTTTCTTCCTTACATTGAAATGCAAATTACCTGCCCCAGGGACAGGTGCAGGATCCACACCCACAACAATCAATTACAAACTCCTGAAGCTGCCCCAAGACTGCATGAGGCTTTGGGGGGACACCTATACACAAACCATAACATTTATTTAAGATTCTGAAATCAACCTCTTAACCAAACTTCCAGAATTAATTCCATGAACTAGTTTGACTTTATGTTTTCATGTTGTTTGAATTTGAAGACCAATTAAGTGGTAGATAATGACAAAAGCAGACTTTGAGAATTTTCTTCCTTTTACTAGTTGACCATGAGCACATTTAATATTTCACTGTTTTTTTCTTTTTTCACTAGTCTTTGAATCATTTAAGATTGATTACATTCGTTATAAGATGAAAATTAATTTTCTTGTTTCCGGGGCTTGAGCTTTTTGGCCAATTTTATATATAAGAAATAGTGATAACATTTAGTATTTACAGAGTTGCAGTTCTAAAATATTGTATCTAATTCTTTGTTTTAAAAAGTAGTTAAGCTTTGGAGGTACATTTATATTTATTTTCTCAATTTCAGCTTTATTTTAAAACAACATATAAATTGGATCATTTTCTTCTATGTAATACTTCACATTAGTTAACAAAACAGTTGTGTGATTTAGCTGTAGATTTAAATCTCAGTCATTGCCATCCTTATTAGCTAGCCTATTATTTAATGAGGGCTAATTTTTCTAAAGTGTAAAAATTAAGATTCTTTATGAAGGAAATAGAACTTTGAAAGGCATTATACAATTTATAAAATATTTTTAGTTGTTTCAAACTTCAGAACATGAACAAATTTGTCAATTTCATGCCTTTCGAAAATTACAGACTAAAGTTTAATGAACAGTAAGCTACAAAATCTGAAAAATATGCCAGGTAATAGATGTATAAAATTGCAGAAATATTTTGTTTTCCTGTCTTTAATGAATTTTTCTTTCTAGGGGCTTAGTGGTTACTCTCCTGTTTGGAAAAACAAACTCAGAAAAGTACCTAGAGCAGTGCGAACACTCATTTCTTCCTCCTACATCTACTGGGATTCCTAAGGTAAGTATTGTGTAGGAATGTGAAACTTCAGCATTCAGTTCTCTGCAGAGTTTGTGAAGTTTTCATTTGTACTATGGCTTGACAGATTTCTGTGGTACTCACTAATGTTTATTGTAAATTTATGGGAGATTTTCTCATTACATTTAGAAAATACATAATTTTAAAATTTCATCTTGAAATATATATAGTTTTAATAATTCAGGCCTGATTTCTTTTATCTGGAATAATGGCTTTGTTAAGTATTAGATTTTATAAGTAAAATTGGAATTGAGCATCAGATATGCCGTACCTTCAATTCTTGTGGGATGATTGTTTTTTTGTACATGAAGAACACAAATGACCTATTGTTGATGGAAGGGCATTATAGTTGGAGGTGAAGATGCAGGAGGTGCAAAGGTAAGTTGCTTGTGTATTGTTTTACATTGTAATCGCTCCATCCTGGTTTCCATATTGATAAACTAACATGTTGTAAGGCTTACAACTTGTTTAATTATCTGAAACTTTTTTTTTCTTGAGAACTTTTGTTAGTAGATATATTATTTGGGTTTGCTTGCAAGCCTTTGTGAAAAAGGAGGCCTTTTTGGGGAAACATTTCTTAGGCCTATATATTGTACATTTACTTGAGTAGCATATAGCATAGCGGGAAATATAAGAATTAAAATTCTAAATAGTAACAAATCATGATCAAGACTGGTTATACCAATTGTTTATTAGATGGTATAGAATAATTTTGATTTGTTGTTGCAAAAGTATGTTTGAGAAGAAAATCTTACAGTTCTTGAAGCATGTATTTTATATATAGTCATACATCATTTTGATATGTTCAGGAAAAGCATTATCTGGTGATTTTGTTGCCGTGTGGACATGTTTGGATGCAAATACAGAAACCTAGATGGTATAACATACTATGCAACTAGTCTGTATGGCCTAGCTTATTCCTAGACTGCATACCTGTGTATATATTATGTTGCTGTACTGAATTCAGTGGCCATTGTAACACAGTGGTATTTGTACCTCTAAGCATATCTAAACATAGAAAATGTACAGAGAAAACAGAGCGTGAAAGATTAAAAAAAAAAAATGGTGAAACTGTATAGGGCACTTGACAAAAATGGAGGTTTTAAGATTGGAATTTGGAGTGAATCAGTGAGTGGCGAGTGATTATAAAAGTCTAGGGTATCCTATACCCTACTGTAGACTGTAAATATGGTATGCTTTGGCTTCACTAAGTTTAGTTCTTTAGTAGTAAATTCACTTTAGACTACCATGACCTTTTTTACTTTCTGAATTTTTTAATCTTTCAAAACCTTTGACTCTCTTGTATTAATTTAAAACACAACTAAGAAGACACAAATACCTATATTAATCAAGGCCTAAACAGGGTCAGGACCTTCTGTTATTCTTACCCTCTGCATCTTGTTTCCCTATAAGATCTTCAGTGACAATAACACATGGCATCTGGAATCCTACCAGAGGTACAAGAGGGATAATGCAGAGAATTACTAATTAGAATCATCTAAATCATTCACTTTAATATTTTTGAAGTCTTATTTAACTATAACAACAGTATATCTGTACAGTTGTAATTTCCCCATATCATAAATAATGTTTACTTGTTTGATTACATTTTTGAAGATAGTTTAGATTTTTGTTTTCTATGTATTTAGTTTTGTTACCTTGAAAAATTATGTTTGGTCTATAGTACAGCCTTAAAAGTTATTTTTATATTGACTTGAGAATAGCAAAGGGAAGGTATAGTGAGTATTGAATTTGAATAAACCATCAAGATCTTTAAATCAAGAAACTGCTCAATAAAATATGGTTTTCTTCAAGTGCTTAGAAGAAATGAAACGGGAAGCAAGGACTATTAAGATTGATAGACGGTTGACTGGTGCCAATATAATTGATGAACCTCTTCAGCAAGTGAGTTTCAGTATGCTGTATTTGAATTTCATGTATTGTGTGCTAAGTATATTTCTTCTGATAGTACTAAGGTATACTTAGTATTAAATGGGGATAATTGAGCTATTTAAATACTCTGGTGGAATTTTATAATGTTCCTTTTGAATTTTGTACTTACAGATGCTGCTGCATTTTTTTTTCTTGTTCATTGATTGGTTTATTCATTCAAGTTGAGGGCTTGCTGTGTTGCTGTGGCTGGCCTTGAACTCATGTACTTGGGTGGTCTTCCTGCTTTATCCTCCTGAGTAGCTAGGACTACAAGCATGCTCTTGCTGCCTTTGCGGACTAATCTTGTATAATGAGGTGGTTCATGTAATATAAAACCTTTTAAAATTGCATCTGCATTTAGAAAAATTTTGGTGACTTCTGATGATGTTTCTGATATTACCATTAAAAATATAAAATTGTAGCTTGCAGATAAACAAGCTTAGTGGTAGGACAAATCAGACTTTTCTATTAGTTTTGTCACTTTTTAAAAAATGAAAGCTCTTGATTTGATTAAAAAAATGCTTGAAAAATGGAATGAGGTATATTCCCCACAAAATTCTTTGGTTGATGTTGTTAGTTATAAGATGATTGTAAATAATGTATACTTCAATATTTTAGTATTTTTTAAACCATTAGTTCATCCAATTTGTAAAGATGTACATTCACTGTATTAGTGCTGTTTATGGACTAATTGAACACTGTAGGCTGTGTTAAAAGTAGAGGGTAAGGGGCTGGGGATATAACTCAGTGGCACAGCACCATCTGGCAAGCATGAGGTCCTGAGTTTGATTCCCATAGCCCCCACTCAAACAAAACAAAAATTTTAAAAAGTGTTTTAAAAGTAGTAGTAGAATTAAGTGAACTGAATCATTTTTGAAGTCTCCAGTAGATCTTCTCATATCATGCAAAAACTTTTTTTAAAGTGTCCATCAACATTATTCTGTGTCTCATCCCATCAGCTGATTAAAACTTTTTAAAATGTGTGGAATTGAACATTTAGTTTTTTTTTCTCTAACTTTCTTTACCTGAATTTGGGTGAGACTTGGCAATGTTTTAATGCTTAAAAGATTTGGGCAGTGAATGAGTTGGGATAGCAGAATAATGTTTTAAAAACTTGTAATGGTTTTTAGCATGTTGATGTTTTTATAAGGAAGGCAGATATTTACTGCTGCAAGAGGAAAAAATACGTAAATTCACAGATACTCATTTTGTTTTAAAATAGTACTTTTTTTTCTAAATCCTAATAAGTTATAATTTTTTTCAATATTTTTATTATAGGTTATCCAGTTTTCCTTGAGAGATTATGTCCAGTATTGGTATTACACACTAAGTGATGATGAATCTTTTCTTCTTGAAATTAGGCAAACTCTTCAAAATGCACTCATTCAGTTTGCTACGAGGTAAGGTTACTGCATTGTATTCGTGCAGAAAAATTTAGGTATATTCTTTATTCCAATAGTGAAAGTACCTATTAGTATAAGGGGGAGGGTTGTTAATTAAAAGATAAATAGAACAATCTATTATATTGTATGATAATCTATAAAGTATAGAACTGGAACCCTTACAAATTTTAAATTCTAGTCTTGAGGTTTTTATAAAATGCCTTGGTGCAGCCCTACCCTTTTACCCTCTTCTATAGATACTCTTGCTTTACTTGCATGTTATAGAAGTAGATTGGTTTTGATGTAACTTTTTCCTGTGATTTCAGTTTAACTGTTCTCTTAATATTTATATCTACCTAATGAAAATCCTCTTAGGAGAAGAAGAAACCAAAGAAACAAGTACAAATTTGATAATAGGTTTATATGCATTCCTCAGTGGTTTATTGTCAGAATCAAATTCATCTTTATTTTAAGTAGTGTTTTGGGCCAAATTTGTATCAGTCAGGTGCTGGGGTTACAGCAGTGAATAAAACCAACTGATTGCTCATTTGAGTTAAATGAAAATAATATGTGTGGTAATGTTGTAAAAATTCTGGAGCAATTCAGAAAAGTAGTCTTTACGCTGTCAAACAACCATGATTACATAGATTAGGAAACTAAGGCCAGGAAAAGTTATGGGGTTCGTTTGCAGGTTAGCCAGTGAGTTAGAGTTGGAATTGAAATTTGAATGTGTGCAACAGTCTTGTGTTCCTTCTCTTACCTGCTGTCTTTTTTTTTCCTATAATTTTGTTGAGAAACAGATAGCAATGAGACAGTTTCAAATCAAATTGGTAGGGCAGTTTCAGTAATTAACACATTGCATACATTCTTCCTAGTGGTTATTTGCTGTACTAGATGCAGACATGATACCCTATCCACAAACACTACTAGAACAAATCCCTCTATTCATTAAGAGAATGTAACCATATATCTATCCTAACCATTTTAAATACACAAATACAAAATGGACATTCATCTGTATCCCCTTTTTTTCTTTTTCCGTCATTTGAATATTACAGGTGTGTGAACTCAGCAAAATATTCTAAAAGAGTCCAGTAGTCCATAATAGTATTGGGTCTTCTGCTTGACTGGCAATGTCAGAAATTGTTGACCTGAGTCCCCTATAGCTCAATATAACAGCATGGCTTTACTTCTTATACTTCGTTTTTGTACTTTTCTGCTGGATGGTTAAGATCAAAATAAAGCAAGACCTATGCAACAATAGTTGTAGCTTTTGGATCTGATAAGGTCAGTGAAATCTACTCAGGATTTATCCTGAGATATCCTGTACCTCAGATTGTAGATCCTTTGTCAGTGTCAGCCATGTGGATGAGTCACAGCCCTGCTGTCTTTTGTATTACAGAACTCCTTGCTTTTTATCCTCAATCTGTATGTATGTATGTATGTATGTATGTATGGTACATATGTATGTACTTACCTACCTGCCTACCTTTAAATCAAACATTCTGTGATATCAAATGTAGTATTCAGGTGATTATTTGGAAAGCTAGGGTTCATCCAACTAACATTTATCTGAATATAAATTTTTACTTGGCTAGGACCCTTGAGTTCTGACAAACTAAAAACTGGTAATAACTTCTTTAAAGAATTTTAGGATAAAAAACAGTATGAAGGCTCTTAGCTTACTGAAAGTTCAGTAAATGCTTTCTGGTTTGTGCCTTTTGTGTGAAGACTTTCCTGTCTTTCTACTAGTACAAAAATGTGTCATACTGGAACTTCCACCACTGTTTCTACTGCCAGTATCAAATTTAGAAATTAGTTCTGTTTCCAGTCGCTCAGATATTCTTAAAATCTTTGTTCTGTTCTGTGTGCTGTGAAATATGTGACATACACATGTTGCCTGTTTTCAGCTTATGGTGTTGAATAGGGCTTATTTAATCAGGCGACTACAAACCTGAAAATACATACAAACTATTCTCCCTCCTTGCCAGCAAATGCTTTCATAGATTTGACTTTAAAAAAACAAACTTTTTAAAATTTATTTTGTACATGGTCTCGCTATGCAGCTTGGACTTATAGTGATCCTCCTTTTGCAACCTCCCCAGTGCTAGGATTACAGGCATGCACCACCGTGCCATTTCCGTGGCCAGCAGAGTGCAGGGCTGGCATGACATGTGGTGCTGGGGATTGAACCTGGGTCCTTGCACTTGCCAGGCAGGTGCTTAGACCTGTGTTGCCAGCCCTAGATTTGCCTTTTAAAGTGGACCTGTAAAGTCAAGAGAGATTTAGGACCATCCAATACATAATTCATATTTAATTATCAATTTTGAGAAACTACAGGACATCAGTATACAGTGAATTACTAAATTTTGAGGGAAAGTGGGAAGAAATAGACATAATTTGAGTCTTATGTCCTGGTTTTGAGCTTTAGCTCTGTTACTTATTAAGCCCTGTAGCCATTATAGGGCAAAACACACAATTCTTTGAGTCTGGAGATGATAACCTATATCCCCATGTCCTACCAGGTTCTTAGGGTTAAATGGTATCACATGTAAGAGCACTTTGCAGTGTTTGCAGTAATAACATCACATGTTAACAGTTTCTGTTATTCTTATTGCAGTTGGGAGAGGGAAACTTTCCTTGAAAACTCTTGAGTTGTCTTTAATGTGGAATCTCTGTAAGTTAGACTGAAGCTCTTCAGGAGCGTGAATCCTTGATATTAAGTGAGTTTTATTCTCATTTCAAATAAGATATTATAACAGGACAGAGAGCCCTGGGCTAGATGTCAGATCTGTATTACTATTTTACTTTTATGGCTAAGTTATAGTGTACTTAGAAGAAAATGTCTTAATATTTTTGTAAAACAAGGACACTAGAATGTGTTGCAAATTCAGACTTTTGGTGGACAAATGAGAAGATATGAGTGAAACATTTTGTAATCAGCCAAGAAACGGCATTGTGTATTTCAGTCATTTAGCACACAGTAACTGTTATGTGAACATACTAGTTTTGTTTTTATTGTTGTTATTACTATGTCCCTGGGTTATGTATACATATTCTTTGACCTTAGCTTTTTTTAATGGAGACAGAGGGAAGATAGGGAATACAAAATTACAGCACATGAAACGGAGAGAAATAACGTAGTTGTTTACCTGGTAGTAAAAGCATTTCATCATAATAGAGATAGAATGAATCAGAAGAATTGATGTAGATGACCTATGTTGAGATTGAAACTAGCCCTCAAGGATGGGTATATTGACATAGATAATTGAAGGACATATTGGGAAAGAGCAGTAGTGTAAATGAAGTTCTGAGAACAAGGATAAGGGCGATATGTAGAAACTAATCAGATTCTGGCAAAGAAGGAACATACTTGGTCTTGAACGTGAAATGTGATTATAGAATTCCTTCATGTATATTAGCCTTGGCCTTAAGTTTAGGGGAAGAAAAATATATTCTAATGTCACTGTGTTTTTCTGATGACTTTTCTTAGAGACAGATAGTCTCTAAGTCTCGTAATCCTTTTTCAAAAGCTTTGTTTCCATTTTTCCTTCTCTCTTGTTTTTTGTTTTCCTTTCCATCCGTTTTCTCTCCTACCTCCTTAGTTCCCCTTCCCAATTAACATTCTCTTGCTTTTTCACAGTATCTTTTAAGTCGTGTCATCTGTTTGCATCTTGTTCACAGCTGCTTTTGTGCTGTAATGGCAGTTAACTGGTTATGAGAGAGACGATATGGCCTGGGGGATTGCCTAAAATAGCTCATAGTTGGCTCTTTTGAAAAAAGATTACTGATCTCAAGCGTGCATATCTGTGGCTATTAAACCATTTAAGAAGCAGTATTAAATATATAAGAAATATATTAGAATGAAAATCACAGAAAGTTATGTATGACAGTATTTCAGTGACATAAACTTTGTAAATAAATGTGCACTTACAGTGATCTTTGGATAGTAGGTTTATGGTTCATTCAGGCAACTTAAAGAATGTTATAAGATGGGCATTTATCACTTGATAGCCTGAGATAGATAAGAACATTCAGCAATAAGCGATAAAGATGTACCAGATAACTACTTTTAAAAATTGCCTTTTCTCTTTTCTGTTCTCTATTTTATGAATCCAGGTATATATTGTCATTTGTTCTTTTGCTTTTCCTTTTAACTTTTCGTATTGTATTGTATTGTATTGTATTGTATTGTATTGTATTGTATTGTATTGTATTGTATTGTATGTGTAGTACATTCTGGGGATTTAAGCTGGAGAGCACTGAGCTATATCCCTAACCCATTTGTTTTGTATTTGAGGTAGCCTCACATAATTTTTTTTTTGTGTGTATTTTTTTAGGGAAGGGTCTACAGGGTGTATTCAGGGTCTCACTACTAGATGGGACTTGTAGTGCTTCTCCTGTTTAAAGCCTCCCAAGAGCTAAGATTACAGGTGCATGCCACCATGCCCAGCCTCAATTGTAGTCTCAGTGCACCCCAGGGGCAGGGCCAGCGTTGCAAGCCAGTTTTGTTGTCCTTGTTTGTTTTTTAATTTCCTGAGACAGGATCTTACTGTGTATACCAGGCTAGTCTCAAACTCACAGAGACCCTCCTGCCTTAACCTCCCAAGTGCTGGAATTACAAGTGTATACCACAGTACCTAGCAATTATTTAGTATATAATTTTTTTCAGTGATTATTTCTGATGATTGTATTTTTCAATGCTATTTTATACAAATAGGCTTATATGAGTGGTCCTGTATTTTTGTTGAGAATTTAGGTTATATAACTAAATAGCAAAATATGGAGAATTCAGAACAGATTTAGAAGAAACATTCAAGCAAACGAAACCATTCTCAATGTTATGTATTCTTTTATCCTGCATTGAGAAATATGGGATATATCCATGGCCAAACTCATTTCAGATTTAAATATAAAAGTTATTATTATTATTATTATTTTATTTTATTTTATTTTTTTTTGGCGGAACCGGGGATTGAACTCAGGCCCCCGTGCTTGCCAAGGAAGCGATTATTCCACTGAGCCATCTCCCCCGACCCTAAATATAAAAATTGTTACTTTTTCCTGTTTTGAGAATTTAGATAGTGATTTTTTTTCTTTTCTTTTTTTCTTTTTTTGTATTCTAGGGAAGAGTCTGAAGGGTGTTCAGGGTCTCACTACTAGAGCAGACTCATAGTGATCTGTCTGTTTACAGCTTCCCAAGAGCTAGGATTATAGGCGAGCGCCACCACGCCCAGTCTCAAATGTCACAGCGCACCTCGGGGGTGGGGCCTGCATGGCAGGCCCGGGGATTGACCACCAGCCCATGCGCCAGGCGCCTTAATCCACTGAGTGATTTGGCTGGCTTAGATACTGCTTTTTTAACACATAAAATAATTAAAATAATATTAGTCAATGACTTACAGAAATAGAGTGTATTTTGACAGCCTTATGGAGTCCAAGATGTAATCAGCATAGATTTGTAGACTTTGTGATAATCATGTTGAGTCAGTAGTCATTAAAAAGGCAAAGATTTATACGATCTGAAGAGAAACCAGAGTATGGGTCAGTAGTAATTAAAATGAACTTTTTTTGTATGCTTTTATGTGATGTGTCTTTTATAAGGTCAAAAGAAATAGACTGGCAACCTTATTTTACTACACGAATTGTAGACGATTTTGGCACACACCTAAGAGTATTCAGAAAGGCTCAACAGAGAATAACAGAGAAAGATGATCAAAAGAAAGGTATTTTCTTTATTTCATTTGAAAATTAGGATTTAAAAGTCAAAAATTTTCCTTTATCACTTTGTATATATCGAATTTTTCCTTTCCTTTTCCAGGTACAGCAGAAGATCTTATAGATTCCTTCTTTGAAGTTGAAGTTGAAATGGAAAAGGAAGTTTGCCGTGACTTAGTGTGCACGTCTCTGAAAGATGAAGAAGGTTTTCTTTTTAATATACCTCTTTTGATGGTGTTAGCTAGTTAAAGACAAGTTAGCAGACCACATCTGAGAGTGTAATCATTCTCATACAGAACAAGTAGTAGTAGCATAATGAAAATACTGCATTTTATTTTAACTCTTAGAAGATATTTTTATTTTCAGTGATTGAAGATTAACCTTTTATAATATAGCGCACATTTTATAATTATTTCAATGAGCTCTAGTAATTATTCTCTTGACATTATTATTAACCTTCAAGAATATAACTGTTAAACCTAAAATATTTTCTAAGAGAATGATTATATGACTTCCAGTAAAATGTACAGATTGAATGAACTTGGCCTTTCTTTATGGGGCTTTAGGTCAGATAAGTTTTAGTTGAAGGTGTTTGGCCAGTTTTATGATTAAGTCTTTGCTACTTGGTTTATTATTTAATTGACAGGTTTATCTGTTTTAATTTTATTCCCAGAAAGTGTCAGCATTTTTGTTGTGGAAATTATTTTCTTAGATTTTGAAAATGTGCTAAACTTTTCTTTTTTATTTTCCTTTCTTTTTCTAATTTTTCTTCTTCCCTTTTTACATTTATTTTGAAATTCAGCTTTTGTCAGTTCACTTAGCACTATTATGAAATAATTGCTGACTCTAAGAATAATGTGATATGTAATACATTTATATAAATTGAGTTATCTTAAATCAATAAAGAGTATACTCTTCCTTTGTTATTATCTACTATAGATAGTGGAAATTATTTTCTTGGAAAGAAAACAGGATCTGGGAAGATAACTTGGTGGTCTAGCACCTGTCTGGCAAGCACAAAGGGCCTGGGTTCAGTTCCCGGTACTGCATACTCTGCTGACCCTGGAACCCAGACAAGCTGTGCTGCGTGGTGGTGCATGCCTATAATAATCCCAGTGCTGGAGAGGCTCAGACAGGAGGATCACTATGAATCTGAACTGCATAGTGAGACCCTAAGTCCAATAAATAGAAAAAGAAAGAAAATAGAGATATAAAAAATTACAGAAAAATACACACCTATAATATTCAAATAACGGAACTTAACAAAAAAAGGGTATACAGATGATTGTATCTGTGTATTCAAAGTGGTTTGGATAGCTATATAGTTACATTCTCTTAATGAATAGAATGATTCTTGTACAGCAATTAACCACTAGGAGGAATGTATGCAGTGTTTTAATTATTGAAACTGTCCTACTGATTTGATTTGCAACTGTCTCATTGCTATTAATAAAATTATGGGAAAAAATTACAGATATATATTTAGATGCACAAATAACTTTTTTAGAATGTGCAGTGATGTGTGGTTAAGCACAAAATACGTAACAGAATTACAAATTAGTCTTGAGTAAAGAGTAGTAATTATTTGTAGAATGGTGAAGCAATTCTTAATGAATATGTGTGTGTATTACTAAAGCAGTAAGCTAGTAAAACTAAGGAACTGTTTACTTCTTTTTAATCTGTCCTGTTTTAAAATTAGGTGGAAACTTCATGTTTTCTAATGTTATTATAGCTACTTTTTCTGTTTTTAGGATTCCTAAGGGATTTGTGTGAGGTCTTATTATATTTATTGCTACCTCCTGGAGATTTCCAGAACAAGATCATGCGATACTTTGTCAGGGTAAGCTTAAACTCATATCAGATAATGATTGTAAAGAAACTTTGAGAATTAGCTCTCAAATGTTTTAGTTTTAAGAACCTCTTAAACTCTTTAAAAATATTGAAGACCCCGAAGTGCCTTTGTTATGTGGCCTTTCTCAATAATATTTCTGTATTATAAGTTAAAACCAAGAAAATTTTGAAATAAAAGACAAACATGTATTCCACTAACTGACAAATGGATTATACACTGTCATGTTCCTTTTGAAAAATCTCACTGTATGCTTGTGGGGCAGTAAGAATGTAATGGTAAGTAAGTCTTATTTTGAAGATGGTTTTGATTTTGGTTCCCCTCTTTCTCAGTCCCTAAGAGGTCACTGGCTGATCCTTTGAGAACTTAGGTGCTTGAATTTTGGTTATAACGAAAGTAAGCTTTTTGTTGGGCTTTTTTTTTTTTTTTTTTTTTTTTTGGTGGAACTGGGGATTGAACTCAGGCCCTTGCGCTTGCCAGGGAAGCGCTTATTCCACTGAGCCATCTCCCCAGCCCAAAAGTAAGCTTTTTAATGTGTCTGTAATATTATAGCTTTACTTAAATTACGGTAGATGAAAATAATGCTTCTGGACGGAAAGTTGAAAGTAACACTGAGCAGCTAATGTTCTACTAAGGTTATATTTGGAAGATGAATAAGATGAAAGAAATAGTCTTGGGTTCTATTTGCTTAATGTAAACCTTTGAAGTAAAACCGTTGAAATGTACAGAGGGAACATCTGGCTTTAGGTGCTAGTTATAATTGAAAAATGCTAGCTATTTTAAGACCACATCCTAATTGAATAATTAAGAAAAGGTTTGAATTTTCCTTAAAAAGTTTGTGATATTTTTAGTCTTTCCTCCTATAAAATGGACACCAATTCTTAAAGCATGGTTTTATGCTTATATATTATTGTTTAAGCAGTACCAACATAACTTCCTAATATTTGCCTGCCTGTCTTGAATTCAGTGTACTTTGTAGTTATAATAGCACTTAAGTGAAATGATTAGAAAATGCTGATTTGTTTAAGGAGAATAATAAAAAAAAGTAAAAATGGTACAGAATTTCAAAACAAGATGAAAAGAAATTAACAATGGTTGTTATATATTGTTATCTTCAAAGAAGTTGCTTGGATTATCAGATACAGGAATGTGAGATTGGTCGAACAATATAAACACTAACTGTTCCTTTCAATGAACTAATAGAAATTAGTAGTATGATAATCTTAGCTATCGTGTGTGTGTGTGTGTGTGTGTGTGTGTGTGTGTGTATTCTCTTTTCCTTTTCCCCATCCCTGTTATTCTTTCCTATTTGAGCAGTGTCTTTCCCTTTCACTATATTTATATTGTACTTTTTGGATCTTAGTTACTCTTTCAGTTTCTTACACTAGCGAGACAGTGTGATGTTTACACATAAGAGTCTGATTCATTTCACCTATGAGTATGGTCTCTAGTTGTATCTATTTACTTATAAAAGCCTTGAGTTTATCTTTCTTTATAGCTGATTAATTCTCCATTGTTTAAAAATAGCACATCTTTTTTATCCATTCCTTAGTTGATGGGCATTTAGATGGTTCCAAGCTTTAGCTGTGACAAATTGTGAAAGTGCTAAGGTTTGATGAGAAGAGTCTGATGGACTAGTCTGTATTTGGTCATGACCGACTAGGTATTTGGTGTAGTCATTTTCAAAGGTCGTAAATATATGGTATGTCTGTCACTGGATTCAATATATAACCAAATTTCTGCGTTCTTCCTAAATGTTTAAATACTCATTCCACAATTCTTTACATGCCATATTAATAAGTTTAAAATTATATCTCTAGTTCAGACTTCCCTTCTGAGCTCTGCCATACTCTTATGAGCTGCTCACTTGAAATTGTCACTTGAGTAACTCACAAACCCTTTCAATATTAATGTTCAAAATGAAGTATTATCCTTTACCCCAGTGCTGTCTGCCTTTTAGTTTTCTTTTCATTTCAGTAAATGGCATGACCACAGAATAAACCTTTCAGGTACTGAGTCCTTCCAGAGGCTTACAAGGCCCATTGTGGTATCATTTTATTTCTCTAGCCTTCATGCCATGAGTGTTACAGAAGACCAGCGGGTAGGCAGTCCATGAAGTGGTAAAATGGATTTTATTAAGAAAACAAAACTTTAGCATAGAACTGGGCTCAGATTTTAATATAAGAACAAGTGGGTATTTATAGTTACAGAGGAGGGTTGGGATGGTGAATGGAAAGTTACTAAGAAAATTATCAAGTGTAAAGGATAAGTGTCTAAACAGCCTTGCTGGGATTCTTGCCAAAGGCAGAGCAGGATAATCAGATTGTCAAGAGGAGGGGATGAGGAAGTAGATCAGATACTGAGGGTAGGAGAGTTCTGGCTAAACATACTTAACAGGATTTGTGCTAAAATTGCTTGCTGCACTGATGAAAGGCTGAAGCCTAATTGAGAAGAGGGTTCAAGGAGCCTACTGAACTTTGGTCAAGGATAAAATCTTTATTAGATGTCACTATACTCTAGTCACATTTGCTTTCTTCCCCAAAAGTGCCATTTTCCTCCTCATTCACACTGGGCTGTCTTACATGCTTTTTTGCTTTGCTCAGATGGTATTCTTTTGGCTGAATAGTATTCATTTCTCATGTCAGTGACTCTTCCTCAGAGATGTCTCTCTGACTGCTGAATCTTAACCTCCCTTATAATTCCCAATTGCTGTAGATAGTCTTAGTTGTTTTCCTTTATAGTATTTTGCCATATTTTAAATAATTTAGTCATCATTAAATTCTTAGTGGTTAACATAGTACTTGGTACACAGCAAATACTAAATCAGAATTAGTTATGAGGCAAGAGACATCCCATTTGCCCTCTTGCTGGCTGTAGTGCACATGCATTGAATTCCTTTGGGATTATGGTGACTCCTAAGTGCTATGAATGGGCATCTGCTTAGTTATATGAGATTATTTTTTAAAATATGTAAGATTGTGATGAGCATATCTATGTATTATAGAATTTTTTAAGCTAGTATTTCCTTTTTGCTTGAATATAATTGAGTAAGGATATAATTGTAGAGCACTAAATATAACAAATCAGTTTTTGTTCTTTTCAGTTACGAGTTCTTTATCAGTTTTCTTTTGTCAGTAATTAAAGTTAGGAAAAGATATTTTTGATTTTTTTTTTTTTTTTTTTTTTTTTTTTTTGCGGAACTGGGGATTGAACTCAGGCCCTTGCGCTTGCCAGGTAAGCGCTTATTCCACTGAGCCATGTCCCCAGCCCCTAGGAAAAGATATTTTTGCTAAGTTTAAATATTAGCAAATGAAGGAGCCTTTTCAGGGGGTAGACCTTTTATATGGTTTATATAAATCTTGGTATTTGATTGAGTTGATTGCTATGTAATTGCCTTTACCTTCTTTTTATTAGGATGTTTTATTCATAGCCTTAGTGACATTGTGTCTTTACATGGAAGTGGCAACTTTGTCATGGAGCCTCTCACTAGGCTCTGTAGGAATTGTTGAGTCCTATGATTAACGCTTAACTAATTATATCTTTTTATTAGGCAAATTAGAGAGAAGTCTCAAGTTTTCTAAGATAAGCTAACTACATTAGCTAATAAACATTAAATTTACTTAAAATTCTCTTCCATGTTTTCTTTTCTCATTTTGAAAACAAACTTTGGAAAAGCTTTTCCTTGTGCATGCTTTCTCCTTGCAAAGTACACTTCGTAATATGAGCACATGTTGTCAGAGACATAATGTGAAATAATTACATGCATATTTTTTAAGACAGACTAAAATTAACTTTAAGGAAGAAGTTTCTTGTAATTTGTGGCTAAAAATTACCAGAATCTTCATTGTGTCTGTTGGAAATTGATCATAGAGTAATAGTTCTTAGACTTGCACACTTTACTGCAGTATAATTATACAGAATCTTTTTTTTTTTTTTTTGCGGAACTGGGGATTGAACTCAGACCCTTGCACTTGCCAGGGAAGCGCTTATTCCACTGAGCCATCTTCCTGGCCCACAAAATCTTTTTTTAAAGAAAAAAGGACTATCTTCTAGTAATGTCTGTTAGAAAATGGCCTGTATAAATTAGAGATCTGGTAAGAGAAATAAATTGATCTTTTGGTTAAGAAAAATAAAATATATTAAGCTAATTATTTAGCTTTCAATAATATTTTTTATATTTTCATATCACAGGCATAAAGATATATTAATTAACTTTTTGCTTCTTTTCACCAGCTCTAGTTGTTATTGTGGAGATGTATTCAAGTTGATATGGTAGTTTAACTCAAGTATGGGATATCACTCAGTGCTAGTAGGGATAAGATATAAAGCATCTTCTTTTACATTGATCTGTATTGTACCTGTGTTATACAATAGTGTTGTATAAGAAAGTTTTCCAGTGAATTGAGAAGTATATTTGATCATATTTAATGTTTTTCTAATAATTTTTTTTAGGAAATTCTTGCACGTGGAATTCTTCTTCCGTTAATAAATCAACTCAGTGATCCTGATTATATTAATCAGTTTGTCATATGGATGGTAAGTACCTGAAGGGAGGGTAAGGGAAATGGGGGGGAATATGACTCAAGATATGTTATATAGAGGTACAAATTCCGTATGATGAATGTGATCATTATAGGTACCTGAAATGTACCAATAAACTTAAATGTTTTGAAAATAGTAAAATTAAGATCACAACTATGTCTTTAAAAGTTTTTTAAATATAAAAATAGTTTGATTATTTATAAGGTGATAAACAACAATTTACTGAAGAATTTAAAAAATATTTCCAAAGTATTCCCTGTATTTGTTTAAAAACCAGATTTTTTTAATGACTGCATATACAGATTATGATCAGATATCCTTTATGCAAAATGCATGGGACCCTAAAATGTTTTGGTGTTGAGTATTTACATATACATGATATTTTGAGGCTAGAACTCTTCCAAACATAAAATTCATTTCTATTACATATATACCCCCTTAACATGGCTTGAAGGAATTTTACGTTTATATTCATTAAGGAGATTGGACTGGAATTCTGTTCTGGTTGGATCTGATGCCCAAAGAAATGACTTTGGAAGTATTACATCACTTTCAGTTTTTTAAAAGAGCTTAAAGATTAGTGGCCTTGATCTTTAAAGTTTTTGTCAAATTCATCAGTGAATCTGTCAGAACTTGGGCTTTTCTTTTTGGTAGTTTTTTACTTCCTTATTGACTGATTTGGGTTATTTAGACTTTATGTCTTCTTGATGCAGCTTTGTAATTTATATATGTAGGCATTTTTCCTTTTTTCTGGGGATTTCCATCTTTATTAGTACAGGTTCACAGAGTAGGTATGGGTAATCTTCTGATTTCTTTTCTATAGGATACATCGTGATTTCACCATTTTAATTCCTAATTGTGTGAGTTTGTATCTCTTTTTTCTTTTTTTTAGATAAGGATATCCAAGTGTTTGTCTGTTTTATTTAGTCTTTCAAAGAAGTAACTCTTAGGGCTGGGGAAATAGCTCAGTGTCATAAGCACCTGACGGGCAAGTACAAGGTCTGGAGTTCAATCCCCAGTAACACACACACACACACACACACACACACACACACACACGCACACACAGAACAATTCGTTGATTCTTTACATCTTCTTGATCTGTTTCATTTATTTCTGCTTTGATCTTTATAATTTCATTCTTTATATGAGCCTTGGGCTTAACTTTTCTTTATTTTCTAGAATCTTGAGGTTTAACATTGTTATTTATTTGAGCTCCCTCAATTTTTTGGTTATGGGAACTTACCACTATAAATTTCCCCTTCTTGGACTGCTTTCATTGTGTGCCATGAGTTCTGGTGTGTTATATTGGCATTATCTTGTAATTGTAGAAACGAATTTCTTCTTTAACTTCATCTATGATCCATTAGTTGTTCAGGAGAGTTATTTAATTTCCATGTGTTTAGGTACTTTTCATAGTTTTGTTTGCCCTTTGCTTCCAGTTATGTTGCACTGTGATCTGATAATATGAATGGAATCAGTTCATTTGTATTTATTTAAACATATTCTATGAGCAAGCATGTGGTCTGTTTTGGAGAAAGTCCCAGTGCCTCTGTTAAGAATATATATTCTGTTGTTATTGAGTGGAGCACTATGTAGATAGCTTTTTAGTCCATTTGTTCAAAAGGTTGGTTTAAGTATGATATTTTCTTGTTTGTTTATTTATTTATTTATTTATTTTGTGGAGTTGATCTATTTGTGACAGTGGGGTATTGAGGTCTCCCATTATATAATAGCTTATCTGATTTTTCATATCCATTAATGTTTCTTATAGTTGAGGGTACCAGTATTTGGTGCATATATATTTATAGTGGTTAGCTTCTCTTCTTGAAGTTTTCCCTTAACAAGTATATAGTGACCTTCTTTGTCTCTTCTTGGCTTCAAATCCACTTTGTCTGCACATAGAATAGCCATTCCTGCTTTTTCCAGGTTCCTACTACATGGAATATTGTTCCATCCTTTGATTTTCAGCCTACAAATTTCTTTTTGAGTTAAACATTTTTAACATTAAACATTTGTGTGTAACATTTTTGGATACTGTTTCTTGGTCCATTCTGCAAATCTTTTTTCTTTTGATTCGTAACTTGAGACCATTCACATTGATGCACGCTGGCTTAGTGGTCATGAGTCTCTTCAGGTGTATATCTTTATCATGGAAGTATCTTACTCAGTTTGGAAGGTTAATTTTACATCACTCTTGGTTAGAGAGTTTGTTTGTTTTCTTTTAGGTCTTGCAATATTTCACTCCAAACTCTCCTTGACTTAAGGGTTTATGTCTGCTCTGATACTGATGTATTTTCCTTTGTAAGTGATTTGTTTCTTTTCTAACAGCTTTTAACATTCTGTTTTTGTGGTGAATTTTGGGAATTGTGACTATTTTATGCCTTCCTATAGTTTTTTTTTTTTTTTCCTTCCTGATCATGGTTAATTGGAAAAAGCTCTATATGCTTGTGTTCTGTATGTCAAATTCTTTTTCCATACTTGGAAAGTTTTCTGTTAGTACTTCTGTAAGCAAGTTTTTCATGTCCTTTGTGCTATCTTCTGAATTTTCATTGAATTCCTGTGTTGGGTATTCATGATTTCCTTGTCCTTGCTAAGCTCCTCTTTTTTTTTTTTTTTTTTTTCATAGCTACTCTGTTTTCTCTAACCATTTCCTTCATTATGTTCATTATCTCACTAGTTATCTGTGTAATTATTTCTGTTTTGGTTTTTGTCAAGACAGTTATTCATCTGTTTTGTTATTTCCGCTAATTATTACCATTTCAGAAAGTTCAGCTGGGTGACTTGTTTCCTTCCACTTTAATTCCCTCTGGATTTGCCTTGGGTGAATTGAGAGTGTTGGGTTGAATCTTCCATTTATTCTAATTTGTTTTCTTTGCTTGCTTGCTTGTTTTCTTTACTGAGCCTTGTTCATTGTTTATGGAAGGTAGCTTTGTTTCTAGTATTGAGACCTCTGAAGGAAGTGACTACATTTCAGAGATGTCTTCCAGGTGCACTGGCCGGGGATCCTACCTTTCGTTTGACAGGGATAGGTTGCAGCCTGTTTGTCCTAGCATCTAGTTATTTGATAGTGGGCTGTAGTATTGTTTATACCTCCAGACAGCGTAGGTATTGGGATGTGAGGAAGATCAGTTTATCATAACTGTGTCAGCTTGGCCAAAGTAGTGTGATCAGTAATAACAGCATCAAACACAGACTAGAAAATGACAAGCTCTGATGACTAATAATTAGCCACCTATAACCTAGATACAATATTGTATAGTTATATAACAAAGTCTCAGAGAGACCAGAAAATTACATACAGTAAATAGGCAGTATATAGAGTAGTTTTATCCTAAGGGGAGAAAACTTAATAGGGAGAAGAGGGGGAAAAAAGAAAAAAAAATGAAGGAAAAAAAGAGAGGTAGAAGTAAGGCTGAAGAAAAAGGGAAGATCACCTGAGCTCAGGAAAATGGTGAAGAAGACAGGAAGAGGAGGGAAGGGAAAGGAAAAAAAACAAAAACAAGAACAAAATAACCTTAAGCATTGATCACATAAAAAGCCAAAACAAGCAATCAAAAAGAAAATAAAAACAAAAGACCAATAGCAAAGAAAATAATAAAATACATTTCTCTGTGATTTCAAGCCTGTGGTTATTATCTGAGGTCTATGGTTTTGTGAGTGTTCAATTCAGAGGCATTGACTCTTGCTCTTGCTGGTAGACAAGGGAGGCAGTCAGATCCCAAATCCATGCAGGATAATACCAGCAAGCTGGCAGTGGGATTAGGGTGGTGTGCCTGTTTGGGACTTAGAAATCCACAGAAATTCAATTTCACCCTGACCTCTGGTCATGGAGTAGGGCCTGAGTCCTTTCATTTATAACACTCTGGTGTCTCTTGCAGGCCTGACCTCGGGTCCTTCATCTTGGACGTCTCCATGGATGTCCGTCACCCAGTCACTGTGGCAGTTTAACATTGGGAGCCCTGAGATGAAGCTAGACCATGGCTGTCCTTAATCCCAGGTTCAGTTGGCCCCTCCCTGAAGTGGCATCTGACCATTTGCCCTCTCCAGGGGATTGGGGGAACAAACACTTAGGCTGGAGTCATGTGCCAGCTGTTGTAGTGCAGAGCATACCCCGCTCTAATCCACTGGTGCATCTCTTCCTGTGGACCTCTGTAATCTGCATTCAGTGTGTCTATGTAGATTCTCTCTACCTTTCTCTTGCCACAAGCCAGGAGCCAGAAAGAAAATGCAGATTGCCCCTTTTTCTGTGTTGTGGTCTGACTCGTTAATTTTTGGGTAGGCTCCAATTTTCTTTTCCCTTTCTAGGTCCAAGGAATCAACTTCCCTAATCCCTTACACCCCCACATTACTATTTTCCAGTGTTGGGATTCTGAATCTTGAAGATACTAATTTATTGCTGCTTGCCACTCACTATCTTCCTGGAAGTCTCCTATTGAAGGAATTTTATACAGTATTTTTAGTGTGCCTGTGTTTGGACTGTGACCTGGCACATGAAATAAATGTAGCATTTTCTACTTAGAACATCATGTCACTACTCAGAAAGTTTTGGGTTTTCAATTTTTGAATTAGAGATGCTTAACTAGTGCAGTTTATCTCAGCTCATGAACACATCTGTTTGCAATTTGATTTGCAAGTAAAAACATTTAGCAAAATTTTGCTTCCATTTGCAAACTCCATCAGGTAACAGACATACATAGCTCTCTTCCTCACACACACACAAATCCATCTATCTTCCCCAAAATCCTAAAACAAATTAGGTTCATAAATGGAGGTACCACTGTATTTGGTTTTAAAAACAGTACAAGGTCTTAATTACTTAAATGCTTTGTAATTCACATTTTATATTATATAATAGGAAAATGGAGGAAACAACCCTAGAATGATAATCAGAGTGTCTGTGTTTTAGGTGTTTTTGTAAGTTGCTTCATGTGTCTGTGAGTGGGTAACTCATTGTTTTAGCATCTGGCTGATACATTTTTTTTTTTTGGTAA